ACTAAAATTTGCAATATTAGAACTAAAAGAGCAAATGCTAGAAATTGAACGGCCCGACCAATTAAAATGTTGCATTTTAGTTTTTGACATTGAAGTCTGTTACTTATTTTTTAATACTTACTGATAATTATTTATTTATTATATTAATAGTTTAAATGAATTCTTTTGATTTAAAAACGTATTTTGTGTTGACGTGATAGTTTTTACTTTTTATTATATATATAATACTTACATATACATGTAAGTCTGTATATGTATACATACATGTGCAAGAGACTAAAGTTTTATATCATTCATGTGAATTTTAAAAAAATAAATGTGAAAATGTGAGAAATTAAAAAGTTTACTTTATTAAATAGTGTTATATGTTTATAAAGTAATCATATTGTTTTTTATTTGATCTGTTAAACGTTTAGCAATATTGGTTTCATTCGCATTTCCTATTGTTTCAGTATAACTAGCATCGACTTCTATTACTATATTGGCAGGTGATTCCACATTAAAAAGAGTGCAAATATTATGAAGAGCACAACATACGTTCAAAATTTGCACCACTTTTTCTGCGGCATAATGTAGTTCTCTACCAGCTAAAAGGCATCGGAACCACGCTTTTAATACTCCAAATACAATTCCGTAAGGGATCTGGCTTTTGAAAATTTATAGTTGTAGTAACTTTCAGCAGAGCTTTCAGTAGCATTTCTGTATGGAGTTAAAAGTCATGGCTCAAGCGGATATCCAGAGTCGCCTATAAGAAAAAATTAAGTTAGCAAAATAAGTGATGCATATAATACCTAAGGAGTAAAATTAACGAATGTGTATAAGCTCACCAATAATGTGAATTCCTATTGCGCCATTCACATAGTTGGTTTGTTGCGCTCGCTTTAGAAATTCCACACATGTGAATCATGATACGGCCCAGCAAACCGAACGTTAACGGCTTTTATCATCACACTATACTATGCTTTAATTTCCTATTGAAATATAAATGCTCATTCACTGCCGGTCGTATCATTTCGGATGTGAGAACCATCCCATCCACCACTCCAATTACTCCTGGAATTCCAGACACTGAATAAAAAGCTCTTTTCACTTAATTTTTCTCCTCTGAAGACATTGCAAAAGTTATGTGTTTTGGACACAGCACTTTCTCAATTGCTTTACAAACTTCAAACACACAACGCGAAACAGTTTGTTGAGCTAGTCTTGTATGGTGATCTTGTCCAATTTGCTGTTGATACCCTCCCTGCGCCAAAAATTTTAAAGTTGCCGCTAATTTCACAATTTCGGGTATTCCTGTGGACCTGCGTGGAGTTTTTAGCTCACTACTTATGCTATCCAACATATATTTGAATGATTCCTTACTTAAGCGAAAGTTTTGCACGAAATTATTTACGAGTAGAAGTACAAAGAAGTTTAAAGAATCGCATTACACTTTATCATTTAAACTTACCTTTTTTCACTCAGACTCATCACATTAGACCTGTCTCTAATAATTTTCCGCTCAACTCGTTAATTTTTTGTGTTTTTCTCCCATAACACAACGGAATGCATATTCACAACTTTTTTATTGATTTCAAATTACTCTTATATATAAAACTCTTCAAATTTAATTATATTTGTCTGCCAATTTTCTACACTTCTTCACTTTTCTGTTATTGATTTTTTTTTTCATTCCTCTTCGTTTCGGTCAGTAATGTCAACTTACAATGCAAAAGTGTTACAGAGTATCGATTGCCCTTCGCAACGCAATTAACTTTCGCAACGCATTGCTATTCGTAACGCCTTATAGAGTAACCCCCCAGATCGAACCTACATACCTACCCGACGCCTTTTTGCAAATGAATATCATGGTACAAGGGAGTAGAGAAAGTCCCATTCACCGTATAAAAATAGCCATTTACAGTCCTTACCCTACCCCCCAAGTGTACGTTCACAATAAAAACATCATGGCCACCTCTGGTGAATAAGGGTTGCGAGAGGTTAAAACGGGCTGCAAAAATGCTTTAATATAAAATTATAAATTTACAGTAGTATATTTATTCATTTATAAATACTATTTTAAATTTTGCTTATAGAATGAAATTTAATGCTGCTATCAAAAGATTTTATTATATCTTCTTGATATAAATAGATATGCTATATATTTTTAAGCGTTTTAGTTACCTTATTCATGAATAAATTGAAAATTATTTTGGATAATGAGTGGA